CAAGCCCCTAGTCACCCCACCCCAATCCAAATAAAAGGTTATACCCTACCTACCCACCATCACCCTAAAAATAGTGAGGGGGGAATAAAATAACTAACCTGTAAAGAAAAATAAAATTTACCATTTGACATCTTTTTTCTAAAATCTTCATTTTTCAGCCCCAAAAAAGGCCAAATAAAAAACCATCATGCCCGTCGAGCTTAAAATAAAAAACCCCACATTAATCCATCTTCCCCCGGGGGTGGAACGGCACAGACTGAGCTCCGCAGGGCGGGGTAAGGCTTATAAAGCCTTGCCCCGCCCTGCAATTAGACTAAGAACACTCTGATTGGTTGGTTTAAGCCAATCAGAGTGCTCTTTGTCATTTTACACAGCGTGGGAAAATTCCCAAAAACTTTCCCACGCTGTGTAAAATGACAAAATGAACTCTGATTGGATGGCTTGAAATTCATCCAATCAGAGTGCTCTGTGTCATTTTACACAGCGTGGGGAAGTTCCAAAGAACTTTCCCACGCTGTGTAAAATGACACAGAGCACTCTGATTGGTTAGATTCCAAGCCAACCAATTATAGTGTTATGAGTCAAATTACACAGCATGGGAAAATTCCAAAGAACTTTCCCACGCTGTGTAAAATGACACAGAGCACTCTGAATGGATGGATTTCATGCCATCCAATCAGAGTGTTATGAGTCATTTTACACAGCGTGGGAAAGTTCTTTGGAATTTTCCCATGCTGAGTAAAATGACAAAGAGCACTCTGATTGGCTTACCCCAACCAATCAGAGTGTTCTGAGCCTAATTGCAAGGCGGGGCTATATAGCCTATATAGTTGTAGCTATATAGCCAAGTTGTAATGTGTTTTTCCCTTTTATATTAAAATATATTGTTTTATACCCTGTATATTTTAATTGATCAAGGGTCAATGGACCTTCTCCAAGCAGTGCATTACCGGATGTTCTTAATATTCTAAACACTTAGACAGGCCAACTGCTATGTATAGAATCATCAGGATACCTCATCTAACTTTGTTGGGAGAATTAACTAGCACCAAAAACAGAAATGTTCTTGAAAAGAGCGGTTGCAACTTTGTAAAGAAGAACAATAGACTGTAAGCTTGTTTGAGCAGGGTCCTATCAACCCTGTAAGTTTTCTTGTAATTGTCCTATTTACAGTTAAATCTCCCCTCTTATAATATTGTAAAGCCCTATGGAATCTGGCGCTATATAAATGGCAATAATAATAATAATAATCAGCACATATAATGTACATGGTATAATAAGTTTTTTTTTTTTTCCACTTCCCTTTTTTACTTCAAGTAAAGACAAAAGGACTGCTTGATGTAGTGTTGTTTTTAGTTTCGTAAGAATCTAAATAACTCTGTGTCTAAATAACTGTGGCAAATGAATTTTGGATGAAGACTAGCTCAATCTCATTTCAAATTTTTTTGTATCTGTATATGTGATTAGTATTTCAATTTATCTGTGGAAAGTGTATACTCCAGTACCAATATGACTGCCCTGTTGTCCGTTTTCCACAGGGCCAACTGCAGTTCCTTATTTGTTTTCTCCTCCCAAACAGGTTTCTCCTCGGCCTGTATTGGATTTGCAGTCACAAAGCAGTCTTTGCCTGCAACTTGTTCATGGGAATTGTGGAACCTGGTATCTGGTTAATACTTCATTCAAAATGTTATTGATGGCAGGTACCGGTTTGGTAATCTCTTTAACCACCGGTTTGACTGGCTCCCTAGTGTTGGTATTGTTGGGGTTATACTATGTTGGTGCTATAGTATGCTTTGTAATGCTTTCTTGTTGCATACAATGTACATCAAGCTAAAATGGAATATATAGTGTTAGGAATACAAATCTGTATTCCTAACACAGTAGTGTCCTCTGGTCACTCCTCCCTGTAGCAGATAAAGGGTTTAAAAAAAAAACAAACAAACCTTTATTTACTCACCTGATTCCAGTGCCCATGTCACTTGGAGCTGGGTTGGCTGTCTGTCTCCTCTGATGTAATTTGTCCCTCCTCGTAGGAAAGCATTGCCTCAATGACATCCAATGGCGCTTAAGGGACTCAGGATCCAGTAAATTCCTGGAAGCTCCTCTAGTGGATGTCTGATAGACCCACTAGAGGCAGTCTTAGTTCTGCAAGGTGCTTATTGCAGTTTATTTTTAAACTGCAATGCTTTTACATTAGGTCTAATGTATGTACCATACCATAAAGAAATCTGACAAAAGAAATGGTGAGAAGAGGGAGATAATTAGAAATGCACCCAACCTTTTGACAAAATAACCTTTATCAAGGGAGCATTCTCAGTTTATGGTATGTATTTTCATGTTGGTTAGGTTTCCTTTAATGTTTCATTAAGAACTTTACACCATGAATAGCATTGTTGTATCTTTGTTCTTGTTTACATGAATACATGTGATTTATGTATACATTGCTCTTTGAATGCATGGACTATTACTTTTATATCATTGTTACTGTTTTTGGTACCATTCAGGGATATTTTGTACATTTGACCTAATTAATAAAATTTATTGATTTTAATGGTAGTGCTCCTCATTCTGGATAGTTTGTAAGCTGTTTTGGTTCATTGGGACATAGGACCTTTGAGTGAGCACCCTATCTTTGTTTTTGCTGAGATATTTTGATGTAATTCATATAGTTTGCCTACCTTTCTAAATCAGATTGTATAACAATTCTATCATTCCCATGTTTTCCTATCAACACTAACCTATCCATACCAAGGTTGTACTTTGCCATATTTCAAGCCCAGAACCTTTTAATGAATATGGTCACCAACAGGACTCACTACAAGTGGATTCATCCACTACTTTGTTGGCCAAACCTGTTGCAATCTGATTACGCTGTTTCCCTCTAATTTATCTCACATAACGAGTGCTTTCAGTCTATTGTGAACTATTCTCTCTGATGAAGAGTTTTCAAAGGTAGTAATGTAATAGTACGTTTGTGATGTTCTAGCATTTCTTCAAAGTTTTACTAACTAGCAATGCAAACTCCAGTATGCTAACAAGAAATTCCTTTTCTGGATATGGGCCTGTCACATGTGCAATGTTGAATCAAAATGTGTGTCAGAAGTCAGATAATCATTGTAATAACTGTTCTGGCCTTGTTCTAGCTAACTTTATTTCATTTTCATATCTACTTTATTATGTAAATGGATTGATTTCTGATATTTAAGACCTTTCTCAATGCTTTCCTATGGACGCTCTGCATGATGGATGCGTAATTCGCATCCAGCATCGCAGATGCGCCTCTAGCGGCTGTCAGGAAGACAGCCACGAGAGGCTGGATTAACCCTGCTATGTAAACATAGCAGTTTCTCTGAGCAGTTTTACCTTTGAAGGGTTAAAACCTGAGGGACCTGGCACCCAGAACACTTCATTGAGCTGTAGTGGTCAGGGTGACTATAGTGTCCCTTTAATAAACAGATCAGATCATAAAGAGTTAAACTTTGTTTGCAATACTTGGTCTGGCTTCATTTTGGTCTCCACCTAGAACAAACCTATGGTGATTGGATTCACACCACACTTTAATACTTGAGGCATCATCTTCTACTAGCTCAGATCCAACTGGCCACTCACCTCTCTATTCAAACATCTCTGTTGCTCTTCCCCTTTTTTTCATTGTGATTTTGATCTATCTGGCTGAGTTTTGTGGTGTCTTTTCCTTCTACAGGCATAGAGAGAAGCTCATAGGGCACGTTTTTTTCCACTGGTGCTACTGACTTTTTTTGCTTCCTTTTTTTTGGATAAATCCCCTATTCTGAACTTGAAATGACTCTTACTCCCCATTTTACGTAGTACAAGATAGAAAAGGAAAATTATTACAATCTTTTATTCTAAAACTCTTTCACTTCTTATTTTTATTTCTTTATAGATATGGAATAATGTAATTTTGGCAACTCAGAATTGGCATTGTAGAATTGGCTAATATTGCATGGCCATTAGGAATGGCAACATTGCAGCCATTGTTTGCATGTCAGCCAGTTATAAGCACTCATGTTTAATGCTTTTATGGCTGTCCACATGGTTTTCAAAGAGCAACATGAACTAAACTCTCTTGACCTCAAAGATATTTTTATTTTCTGCCTAATTGCTTTGGAAGAACCAAAGATTTTCCCCTTTTCCCAAATCTAATGCCTGGGCATTACTGCAATATTAATACTACAGGGTGCATGACATGTGCCTTTAAGTGATTAAAAAAAATGGATTTTATTTTGATTTTGTTACTTAGATGTTAATTTGTTTAGGACCAATTTGCAATCCAGTCAAAGTCCCTGAAATCTTCCTGCTCTTTTTCTGTAAGTTCCTTTGTCCCGTTTGGAGGTGTTAAGATGGGATCTTCTGAGGTATACTCATCGAAATTCCTAACATCTTCAATTCCATCGATGGTTGGTATAAAGGGGGGCTTCAAATTCTTAGCTAATAATTCATCCCAGTCTATCTCCTGTTAACAAATTAAACGTTTTAGTGGAAGAAAGTAGTTTTGACAAAGATAACGAATATGCATCATTAAGTCATAAAATTAAGATGAAAAATATAGACTGGCAAAAATCTGAAAAACTAAATTCTACACAAGTTACAGTATAATTCACAAATCCATAATTAAAGTCAACGGATAGGATTACACGTGCATTCATTAGTGGAAGAAAGTAGTTTTGGCAAAGATAAATCCTTTGTATCACTGTGCTCCTACACATGCAAATACAGGAGACATTTTACATTGGCCGTTTAATGACTTCACGGGCATGAATTTAATGCAAATATACATAAGTAAATAAATTTAAATAAGCATCCAAATGAACTAATGTTTATTTAGGTGTTAGAATGTAGGTTTCCCCAGATGTGACATGTGACAATTTCACTTGGAACTAAAAACAAGATTGAGGTAGAATATACCATTCCCCTCTATATACCTATGGCTGGTAGATGAACAAAATGGACTTACTTGAAAGAATGGATTCCACTTTACATCTTCTGCGTCATATTCACTTGCCCCTAGACGGTCCTCTGGATTTATGTTGAGAAACTGTAAAAGACATATTTTTTTTTCTTAAAATGGCTCTTGGTATTTTGATTAAAATAAATAAATAAATGAAAACAAAATTGCAAGCAGTTTATCCAGATAATGTACTGTCCTGATTACTATGATTCCTCTTGCTACTGTTTTTTTTAATCAAAATGAGTCTCCAAACATGACATTATTCTGTATCTTTTTGTAGCTAGATCTGTATGTGTGTGTAACTGCCTGTCCCACACTCTTAGAGTCAACCACACTGTGCTCTCTAAAATCCAAGTTAAAAACACTAAACATGCATTGGCAACATACATCTTCGATTACATCGATGGTTTCTACAGACAGGACAGACATGAACTCCGGACAGCTGAATCTGCGATTGATGATGTTATTTATTTTTTCAAATTCATCTTCGCCGTCAAAAGGAGTCTAAAGTAAATAAAATAAAAATAAATAAATCTGATGAATTATCTTGTTGATAAACACACATTGGTATATAGTGTTTTGCTTGTCGAGTCAGGATTCCGTCCATTAATTCTTAATAAACTATTCTTACCACTCCTGCCAGCATTGTATATATTAGCACTCCCAGACTCCACCAATCCACAGCTTTGGTGTAACTTTCGTGCTTGAGGATTTCGGGAGCCATGTAATCTAGTGTTCCACAATGACTTGTGGTTCGTTCTCCATATCCGATTCCTCAGAGAGAGACAAAAGTTAATTATATTTAAATTGAAGATGTACATTCCCTGCCTTTAAAGTAACACTATAGGGTATTCCTGATCCAATAGTGTTAAAACCACCATTTAAGTGGTTTAACCCTCCCCTCCCCCACCCATAGCCTTTAGAAAGGGTTAAAACCTCTATCCAGCACCGCAAGGGTCTGCCAGAGCTGACCCCACCCCAATCCACCTCTGGCTAACATCAGAATTGATTATCTCAGCCAAGGAGGTGGGCTAGGGGCGGGGTCAAAAGTCGACCTGGCCAATCCCCATCTCCTCATAGAGATGCAGTGAATCAAAGCATCTCTATTAAGAACATGGAGATGCTGAACGACACTGCTGCACTCTGAGGAGTGGCCACTGGAGGTGTCCCTGGGCTTAAATGTAAACACCGCCTTTTCTCTGAAAAGTCAGTGTTTGCATGAAAATACCCGCAGGGCCTGCCTATAGGGACCGAACAACTACAATGAGCTGTAGTTGTTTTGGTGATTATAGTGTCCCTTTAAGTTACATGCCCGTACATCTGTCAGTTAGGCATTTGTGCATTAGAGCTGCTGAATATTTTTGTATCGTTTTTTTCTTGTTACATTTTTTTTAAAGTAATTTCCTGAGATCTAATCCACATATTGGTTTGTTCAATGATCCCTTGTTACAAAGTATATTATCATTTGTGCTTTTGATATCTTTTTGTTTATGTACTTTTAATTATGTACAGAATTAGATTATGTTTGAATGTGGCTAAGTTTAAATGTGGGATTTATTCACAATTGTAATTTATTTTTTGATTACCTTTGTATGCCTGGCTATCCTGGCACAGCTAGGGCACACTATGTAAATTAAGTTGCAATATGACCACTACAGTGCAGGTCCTTTCATGTGGTCTAAAGTCTGTTGGCGCCATATCCCAGTTTTATGTCAAACCATTCAGAATTAGTTTGAAACCATTTTTGCTCTCCATATCCTCAACTGCCACATTGGTAATGTGGAGTTAACAGTTCTGTATAATCATTGTCTAATCTATTTCCTTTAGAACCTTTTGGCTATTTTTTCTACTTTAATATTGCATGTTTGTTTTTGTACTAAAATCATGTTTTGTGTTAAAATAGGACTAGATAAAAGTACCAAAAAAGCAATTTTTACATTTTCAAAGTCTTAATGGCTGTTTAGGAAACAAGCACACATTTGTTTTTATGCTGAATTTTAAGGATATCATTTTATATGTGTAAAGCCAGCACTGATGTTACAGAGGCATTAATTTATCGAATATCTATGTATAAATGTAAAATGATATCTACCTTCCTTACTAATACCGAAGTCAGTTATTTTTGCAAATCCTTCCTTATCCACAAGTATATTCTCTAATTTAAGATCCCTAGATTAAAATGCAGAAAAAATGTTTTTAATCATTTTTACATAATTCTAGAGGACACTTGGATGCAGGTATTAATGGGATTCCTTGTTTAGGCTTTTAAAAAGGTTACATTTAAAACCATAACATAGAAAAACAAATAGGTTTAAGCACAGGCAGTGCTGTAAATATAACAAATATAACTGTGCAATCCACTTTGTTTTTGCGCTTTACACTTACCTGTGGATAATCTTTTGGGAATGCAAATATTCCAAGCCAAGCACAACACAAGCAGCATAAAATCTATGGAAAAAAAAAAGAAACGCGTTGGTTACTTTTAAGATGATTTAAAAATGCAATCTTTGTACTATTGAAAAGTTATTTTCCACAAATCCTTCATCACTCTATGGTCTAACATGGCGACTTTTAATGTAAGACTCTCAGCCAGTCCATATTGACTAAAGTTGGTTATGCTATTGCAGAAGTATAAAATTCTTCTGTTGTATAGAATGGAAAGACCGTGGGACCTGGACAGTCAGGTAAGTGTAAAATAACGATTATCTTTCCCAATAATCTAACTAGACTTTATGGAATTTATTGCCTACCTCAATGCCAGCAGCTGCTAAACACTGCATTACAGGTTTAGCAATATGGGCACAATGCTGCCTATACTTACATCGCTCTGGGCTCTGTTAATGCACCGTTGCTGTTGTAAACGTTTGTAACAAGGTCCCCGCCAGGAGTGTATTCCATGACAAAGCAGGCATGATGTGTGGTCTGGAAACAACCAAACAGGTTTACCAGAAATGGATGGCGCATGCTGCTTACAGATTGGAATATGTGCTTCTCACTCATAAGACTGGATAAGGAACAATAAGTCAATTATTTCCCTGATCTCCAAAAACTCATAACAAATAAAATAAAACAGGATAAGGTATGAATAGCTCTGTTTACTGACCGGTGGACCTTTTTTGTTGAAACAATGTCTCCTTTTTTCAGGGCTTTTAGGGCATAGATTTTCTCAGTGTCCTTGTGTTCAGCAAGGAACACCTAAAATTAAAAACAAAGGTATGCATGTGTTCTTATTCTGCATCAATTCATTCAAGTTTGGTACGGCAGAATTGCATTTTTTTTTCTGCCCTGTCATTTTTATTTTGCTTCTTTCCTTTGAAGACTTTTTTTGTGGTTAGATCACAATTTTGGGGGTAGTCTGTATATAAAAAATACATTTAGCAAATCTGCACCTATCTTTCCGACAAACGTTTCCAGTTACATCATTGTGGTGGATTTTCTGTCTGACAAAAATATAGTATCCAACTGACAAATTATGCGATTAAAAATAAAATAAAAAAACAGACCTCTTTAGAAAAATGTACTGGCTTATACATATAAATGTAGCACATTCGTTAAATGTAGATGTTTTCAACACTTTGATACCTAAACAAAACGCAAAAAAATTCTTCTGTTCTAATGCATTTGCTAAGACACTTTTTCTCGAAAGAGTATTTGTATTCATGCTTAAACTTACTTTCCCGAATTTTCCTCTACCCAGCACACAGCGAAGATCGAAGTCTTCCAGGCTGAGTTGACATTCTGGCTCAATATTGCCAGATGCTGGAAGCACGCTGTTATCGGGTTCTTTTGTTGTTTCTGAGATTATGCTTAGCGACGTTAATTTATTAAAGCATGGATATTCATTGCTTGCTCCAGAATCCTAGGAAAAAAAACATACGCCATAATTTAAAGTTGTTATTTCCCCCCCCCCTCCGTGACAATTGTTGCCTTTGGTCCATGGGTTTGTAATGGTGGGTCTAAAACATTGATTAATAAATAAATGAAGTCGGGAATAGCAGACAAACGAAGAGGAAGCAGGGTATGTTGGAAAATAACTGGAGAAGCAATGTGTGTGGGAGAATTATGAAGAAGAAACAGAGGATGGAGTGATAAAGTGGTGGTGATTTTAGAGGCAACGACTATAGTCATTAAAACTCCTGTATCTGATGCTTCAGGACAAATGGAAGAATTAAACCACCTACAAAATAAAATGTACATTTCACATATTGGGCTCTGGCTGTACTGATTCTATGTTTGACTCCTGATCATTATAAGTCGACATTGTTTACGAGCGGCAAATGAAGAATTAAAAACAAAAACAATGGGTGTGATAGTGGACAAAGATTGAGCGTGTTTACGTTTTTCACAATATCTCACAAATCATTTGCCAGGGATTATCAGGACTTCAGTAATCAAAATTTTCTTTAATGACGAGGTTTGCGTGAATGTGTGGGGAAAAGAACAAAACAAAAAAAAGCATATAGCTTTACCTGAGCCGGTATATCCGTTCTCTCAGTGTGTCCTGAAGACTGATGTTGATCACCATGTGCAGGTGTTGGAGATGGAATAAGAAGTGTCTCCAATGTTACATCAGTGACATCAGTTTCTGGAACTGATGCAGTTGTTTCACCCTAGAAAAAAAAGACATACACCATAAATTAAATTCCCCCCACCCCAATCCCCCAATGACAATTGTGGCCTTTGGTCCATGGGATTGTAATGGTGGGTCTGAAACATTGATTCATAAATAAATGAAGTCGGGAATAACAGACAAACGAAGAAGAAGCAGGGGATGTTGGAAAATAACTGGAGAAGCAATGGGTGTGGGAGAATTATGAAGACGAAATGGTGGATGGAGTGATAAAGTGGTGGTGATTTTAGAGGTAACGACTATAGTCATTAAAACTCCTGTATCTGATGTTTCAGGACAAATTGAAGAATTAAACTACCTACAAAATAAAATGTACATTTTACATATTAGGCTCTGGCTGTACTGATTATACGTTTGACTCCAGATCATTATAAGTCGACATTGCTTACAACCAGCAAATGAAGAATAAAAAACAAAAACCATGGGTGTGATAGTGGACGAGGTTTGCGTAAATGTGTGGGGAAAAGAAAAAAACAAAAAAAGAAGCGTATAGCTTTACCTGAGCCAGTATATCCGTTCTCTCAGTGTGTCCTGAAGACTGATGTTGATCACCATGTGAAGGTTTTGGAGATGGAATAGGAGGTGTCTCCAATGTTACATCAGTGACATCAGTTTCTGGAACTGGTGCAGTTGATTCATTCTAGAAAAAAAAGACATACACCATAAATTAAACGCCCCGCCCACCCGCATGAAAATTGTGGCCTTTGGTCCATGGGATGTAATGATGGGTCTGAAACATATTGATTAATAAATAAATTAAGTCGGGAATAGCAGACAAACGAAGAGGAAGCAGGGTATGTTGGAAAATAACTGGAGATACAACGGGTGTGGGAGAATTATGAAGAAGAAACACTGGATGGAGTGATAAAGTGGTAGTGATTTTAGAGGCAGCGCCTAAAGTTATTAAAACTCCTGTATCTGATGCTTCAGGACAAATTGAAGAATTAACTTACCTACAAAAATAAAATGTACATTTTACATATTGGGCTCTGGCTGTACTGATTGTACGTTTGACTGCAGATTACTATAAGTCGACAATGTTTACAAACGGCAAATGAAGAATTAAAAACAAAAACAATGGGTGTGATAGTGGACGAAGAAGCGAGTGTGTTTACGTTTTTCACAATATCGCACAAATCATTTGCCAGGAATTATCAGGACTTCAGTTATCTAAATTTTCTTTAATGACGAGGTTTGCGTGAATGTGTGGGGAAAAGAACAAAACAAAAAAAGAAGCGTATAGCTTTACCTGAGCCAGTATATCCTTTCTCTCAGTGTGTCCTGAAGACTGATGTTTATCACCATGTGAAGGTGTTGGAGATGGAATAGGAAGCATCTCCATTGTTATATCAGTGACATCAGTTTCTGGAACTAGTGCAGTTGTTTCAACCTAGAAAAAAAAATACATACACCATAAATTAAATTCAGTAATCCCCCCTCCCCACAATGACAATTGTGGCCTTTGGTCCATGGGATTGTAATGATGGGTCTGAAACATATTGATTAATAAATACATGAAGTCGGGAATAGCAGAAAAACGAAGAGGAAGCAGGGTAAGTTGGTAAATAACTGGAGAAGCAATGGATGTGGGAGAGTTATGAAGAAGAAACAGTGGATGGAGTGATAAAGTGGTGGTGATTTTAGAGGCAGCGCCTATAGTTATTAAAACTCCTGTATCTGATGCTTCAGGACAAATTGAAGAATTAAACTACCTACAAAATAAAATGTACATTTTACATATTGGGCTCTGGCTGTACTCATTATACGTTTCACTCCAGATCATTATAAGTAGTCATTGTTTACGAGCGGCAAATGAAGAATTACAAACAAAAATCATGGGTGTGATGGTGGACGAGGTTTGTGTGAATGTGTGGGGAAAAGAAAAAAACAAAAAAAAATGCATGTAGCTTTACCTGAGCCGATATATCCGTTCTCTCAGTGTGTCCTGAAGACTGATGTTGATCACCATGTGAAGGTGTTGGAGATGGAATAGGAGGTGTCTCCAATGTTACATCAGTGACATCAGTTTCTGGAACTGGTGCAGTTGTTTCATCTTTATTAATAAAGTTTTCTTGGTCAATCAGTGCCTGCAAACGTTCTATCTCATTCTCAATGTCTTCAAGCTTCTCCTGCAATGCCTCAAGATATTTAAGGTTTTCTGGAGGGCCTTTGGAATATGCCAGGAACATATTCTCTGCACCTCGCTTCACCTTAAGCTCAATTTCGAGCTGTTTTTGCAGTGCAGTTAAATTCCCATTGTCTGCCTGGGCACTTGGGTCACCTTCAAGAGCAACTGAGGTCTTGGAACATACTGGAAAATTAGTAATAAGACAAAACCTAATTAGAAATGCTGGCAGCTGGTACTATTCTGTCCAAGTTAAAATAAAAATGTAGGTATGCCACTTTTGTTGACACAAAAAGCAGCAATCTAGGATCTAAAGTAATTTTTGGTACACAAACCCTATAGTCACTGGTGTAGCGTGGGCTGGGCCACAGGGCTGCTTACCCTGGGCGCAAAATTCTTTGGGGCCCAAAATTTCAAAAGAAAAAAAAGAAAGGAGTAGTAATATATTTTTTAAAATAGCGCGCCCTCCCAATCACCCAGAAAATCTCCCAATGTTCAAACATTATACAGTTTTTCAGCATGACAGGGAAAATAAACATCACTTCATCACATTTTACAGTAGTTTGCTTGCTAATCACAGCCATACTGTCCTTCTGTAATTCTTATCGGTGAATTACATAATGCTTATTAATAACGTGATTTCCTGTTTAAAGATAACACCAGAAATCACTCTTTAATAGGCATTTTGTAAATGCCCATACATGTTATCATAAAAGTATGCCAGTAACGGGCGCCTAGATAGCCTCACTCCTCTTCCCTGCCCGCCTCATCTCCATGATGTGTGTGTGGCACTGATAGATGTGTTGCGTCATTTTTAAAATCCACCTCACGCCTAAAGTAATATGTATAGACTAGGGTTAGAGGGTGCAATAAATGCCTTGCCACAGGTGCTGACAATCCATGCTATGCCACTGCCTATACTACCCGTTATCCTACACCAACCCTGTTAACTCTACATTCATTCTAACAGTACACTACCCTAGCCTTAACCCTATACTATCCCTAACCCACCCTTTAACCTCACCCTACACTAACACTGAGAAAGCCAGGTAGATTTTGGCCTGCATCCATTAGCTATCAAAAGTGGCAGGAGTGCGGCTAGTACCTGTATGGGTGTTAACCTGCCTTCCTCCTTCCCAATGAGCGCTATTAATTATGTAAGAGAGTAACAGAGTTATATCACGAGGTATGCCACTCATTCATTTTAGAGGAACTGTTACATTTCCCAAATAGAGGAGAAGAGATAGTAGACATGTAGCAAAGGCAGTGTTGCAGAGAATGTAACACCAAACTGGAACCGAACATGTCGGCTCTTATCAGACTGCAGGAGGGTAACACGGCACGTTAAAAACTGGTTCAGTCACAATGGAGGTAGATATAAACATTTTATAATGTACCTGAACGTTCCTCTGCTTTTTGCTCAACATCATCAGATTTATTGCGTCTTGTGCGCTGAAAAGACAGAAACAAAATCAGAAAACCAAAACCACTTTGCAAGAACGTTGCAAGCACTTTGATGAAACAAACTCAACATATATAGAGTCCATTCCCTCGCTGCCACATGGGTCTGTGATACAGTTTAAATTATTATAAGTGACCTCAAATACAGACATTAGTTTACTTAAAGCAAGATACCACTAAGATACCGTAATAATTATGGCACCCCTCCAAACCATATTCTTAATGGTATTACTTATTCTCTGGGGTTCTCAATTCACTGTCCCACAACTCCTCTCACCTTTAGGCTCCTTGTCAATATATATCCCAAAACTACAGTGCACATGTACCATATACTATTATTATAATTATTAAATTCTAATCGCATATACAATTAGCCGTAGAGACCTAGAAAAGATAGCTCCCACCAAAATGTATTTAAAGAGTTTCTTCATACACCAGACCACTTCAGTGGTATGAAGTGGTCATGGTGTTTGAAGTCTGTATGCGCAGCATTTCGGTATAAATACAGAACTATGTTATAATTCTGCTGTGTACGTTATTAGTACGTCATTAGCCAGTACCTTTAAGTGAAATGGTGGGCTTATGGCTACAAATGTATTTAACTATGAAGAACAAAGTAAAATGGGGAGTCCATAGGCTGCCATGGGAATTTAAACATAATATAATAAGTTAAGGGGTTCATAGAACTAGTGTTGTTTGGGTTAACATTTTAGAGCTCCCAGTTAATGGTAAGTATAAGAAACAAAGAAATCCACTTACTTTTCTAAAGCACAAGCATCGAAAACAAGAGAAAATATTTCTCGCCGACATTTTTAGTTACTTGATCACTACAAAAGCTAAGCAGTGTCAACTGTCCAAGCAATGTCTAGTGAATACTGTAAACTGTGGCCATCAGGGATGATGCTGCAATGATGTCACTATGATGTTACACAGGTCACAGGTCCACATCTCACCAGCATGTCATAATACACAATCTATCAAATCTGAATATTGAAGTTTCTATGTTTAAATATGGATATACTATATTATTATATAACATTTAGAGGTCCATTCATTAATCTGTGAATTGTAATACATTGAAAAAACAAGTTGGAAGATCTAGACTAAAATCTAGGGGACACATTGGTAACCTTTGGTCCCTTTCTAGATCCAATAAAATAGTTTAGCTTTGTAGTGACAATAAAACAAGAGTCTAATGCACACTATAAAAAGGAGTACCAGAAAGGGAGAGAACAAAGGAATAATATCCTTTTATTAGGAACAAATATAGTGGAGACAACGATTTTGTTTTACACACTAGTGTTTTGGGGTGTTGACTCTCACCAGTTTTTACAGATTAGAAATGTATAATTAAAAGTTAAGTTTTAATATCCACGCATTAAGGTTGCACGTTAAGTTCTTTACTGTACCCTTACTGTTTCCTGCGTCTAGTAGGGTATTCCACTCCACAGGATACTCTACCAATATCCTTTCTCTCCTGTTCCCCTCACTTTGGTGCGCTAAATAAACTGGTAACTGGGGGCACACACCGCTTTTCTAAACCAAATATTAAAGTAAAGCGATTTTCATTAAAAAGCAATTAATAAACATTATCAAAACTGCATGAATGTTAAAATGTATTTAAAAAACAAACAAACCTAAAATAATTTATAAGGACTGAAAATCCTAAATACAGTAGATAACACATATCATAATCTAAAGATTTTTATTTTTAATATATAGTAAAACCTAAACGCTTTTATAAAAAGTGTTGTTGGGTGAAACTTTTAAAATCAAGCATTTTGTCATCCGTGAGATTAAGACTGTAATCTATCTGATACAATGTAAATTCGGTATCCGATACACAGGTAGAACTACTAGGAAATTACATGTTAGCTAACAGAGCATTTCAGCTTTATAAATAGAAGCATAGTGTACCTAAACATCGAAATGAATGTAAAGAGTTCTGTTTCAACCTTTTTGTTCAGGAATAGGCTTAGTAGTCCCACATTGGAAAGGGGGGGATACTGAAAACATCCTCACTAAAAAAAGAAACGGAATGGATCCACAGATTGAAACGTTAGTACCTTTTTTCTTGTGGTAAATATTATTTGGTTGAAACATAAGACTTTGTTGAACCTGTCAATAAAACAGCAAGGAACTTCCATATCCTAAATACATGTATTTGATAAAGGCCTCTGTGTAGGCCTTTTTGTTCCAATAGACCTGCCTTTCTGCAGCAATCCTGAGTGACTGGACCTAATTTATTTTACCTCCTAAACTGGGTTTTGCCAACCCTGGCCCTGATAAGCACCTGAATTCCCAAGTGTGAGTGCGGTATCCTCCGTCTGTGAATTACTAAATATACATATGCCAAATAGAGAACACACAAGTCTTAACATAGACATGATTGTAATTTCACTGAGTGATAGTTATTTTTGTCATTTTCTTTTTTTTTTTTCTTAGATTTCAGATTTTAGCAGGTCCTAACTGTTCAGTCAATAGGATTTTTTTTTCTGTTTTTTTATTGAGATATTGTATTAGGCAATACAGAATAAAGAGAGAAGTATCATGCAAATATACAGACATAAATAATATAGAAGATGTATATACTCCTGAGCAAACAGTGTCATATCGTTTGTTTGTTTTGTGAAATAAACAAAGGAAAAAACATGCTGAACATACTAGAGTAAAGTAAAAGCAGGCTAGTTCCAGTAGCTAAAACATGTAAATACCACAAGATTGATAGGTAAGGTTATAGCAGTCAGGTCACAGTACTAGGAGTTAGGTCACAGTGTTAACTACACTATGAGATATCAGCCAAACTGCCATGAATGCCCCTATGCCCTTCAGCTAATACCTGAAGATGTAGAGTCACAGCCCCCCCCTCTTTATAGTGTTCTCAGAGAAGCCCCCACAAGGAACCCCATCCGCCAGATGGTCCGCTTCGATCAGCTCCAAAAAAGTTATCATATCTGATAAAATTAAGTTTGTGGAAAAATATTAACACAGACTTTCTATGATTTGGGTTTCAGCATTTACAATAAAGCACATACACAGATGCTGTCAACTGCCTTTGTTGCAGGCTTACAGGAACCCATCAGAAAGGGCCTAACCCTATCACGCCCAGAATACAGGATTATTCCCTTGGATACTCTTCTCTTGGTTGCAAAAGGTCTAGAGTCAGCATTGTTACCTCAGGCCAAGAAGGGGACTCCCCTGATGTTTTCCCTTTATAATCCTGTCATCAGACCTGCCCCAGCATCTCCTGGGTTTCCAGTGCCTATGCCACAGAGACACCCTGTGTCTCAGGCTCCAAGATCTCAAACCAGAGCCTGTTATAATTGTGGCCAAGCTGACCATTTACGAAAGGATTGCCCTCACCCCAGGGTGTATAGGCCTCAACAACAGGCCATAAAACCTCCTAATCCCGGGGCAGCCTATCGTATGTATTCCCACCCCTCTGCAGTGACCCAAGCCCAGCCTCAAGCTGCCTACCCTCCACAGGGTTTCCCTTTGACTGTTTATTCACCTTCATCCGTTGACAGTCAACCTGCTCCTCATGGGTTTGTTCATTATCCCTCTGATGGCTATGATACAGACGATTATCAGCAACCTAATCGTCCTCAACCCAACATTAACCGTCCTGTGCGTCTGGCACAACAGCAAGGTTACTCCACGTCTGCAGCTCCCTCCCGCCACTACACTGGCCCTGACCAGGCCCACCTTGACCTTTTACAATAGGTAACTGGCAAACCTGTGTCCAACACCCCTGTCATGGCAGTGTCTACAGGGGACAAATGGTGGCCCCCAGCTATCGTGGTCCTACCCATTGAGGGCCATCCAACTACTTTCCTAGTTTACACAGGCGCAGCCCACCGTGTTCTCAGAGAACAAGACCTGCCTGGCTCCTCTTTCCTCTCTAACATTGAAGTTACATGTGTTGGTGTTAATGGTACCCCTCGTAACAACCAACTGACCAAGCTCCTAAGGGTGGGCTCTGACATCCTCACACGTTTTGTTGTTTCCTCCACCTGCCCCATTAACCTGTTAGGTGCCGATGATCTATCCCGTCTACAAGCTTCTATCTCCTTCACTGCTGATGGCCAGGTTCAGTTACTAATACCTCTCTCACTTAAGGATACTTCAGCCCTCTGTTCCTTTACCTCTCTTACTCCACTTAGAGGCACCACGTACCGGAGATGCAAGGGTTTGCAAAGTTCCCCAGTGCCCTGGATAGGGTCCCAGACAAGCTTTGGTCCACAGGCCCAGATGATATTGGGCGCCTACAGGTACCTCCGGTGGTTGTTCAGCTGTTAGAAGGAGCAATACCCTTTGAAGCTTGCCCAGGCCCTTGCCATTTCCAAGCAAGTTGAAAGCCTACTAGCAAAAGGTGCTTTAGTAAAGTGTGTATCAAAATGTAACACCCCTCTGTTTCCAGTGAAGAAGAAAACTGAAAAGAGAGAACCAGACCAATATCGTATGGTTCAAGACCTCCGTGCCGTCAATGATGTTACAGTCAGAGATACAGCCATCGTACCTAATCCACATACGCTCCTATTACAGGTAGCTCCTACAGCAAGATTCTTCACTGTGGTTGACTTCACTATGGTTGCCTTTTTCAGTGTGCCTCTGGACCCCTCATGCCAATATCTGTTTGCCTTCACACATAACCGCCGACAATACACCTGGACTGTAATGCCCCAAGGCGCTCAAAATTCACCCACTCAGTTTACTAAAGCTATGACAACTGTACTAGACAACTGTACTAGAACCATGGCAGAAATCTCATCCAGAGGTTATCCTCCTTCAGTGATGATTTACTACTCTGTGCAGATGACCTCCCAACTGCTGAACGGCTCTCTGAAGACTTGCAACCTCTCTACGATGCCTTGAAGACCGAACCATTCACCTTATTCCCAGAAGCCCATACCTGCTTCTATGCACTCCAGAGAGCTATTTCCTCTGCTCCTGCTCTGGGCCTTCCTAACTATCAGAAGCACTTCAATTTTTTGGTTTCAGAAAGAAACACGCTTCCGGGGTCCTTACACAACCTCATGGCTCCCGCCAACGTCCCATTGGTTACTTCTCCTGCAAACTGGACCCTGTGGCTTGGGGTGGACCATCCTGTCTATGAGCTATATTCGCTGCAAGTGCACTCCTGGACAAGACTAATTACTTTGTTCTTGGACATAAACTCACTGTCCTTGCTCCTCATGACATTATTGCCATTCTTAATCAAGTGCAGCCGAAACATCTCACCTCTCAAAGATATCTTCGCCTCCAAGCTACTCTCCTTTTGCCTGACATTTCACCTTGCAGAGATGTTATTCTCTAAATCCGGCCACTCTTCTGCCACTTCCCAGGGGGGGAGTACCACACTACTGGTACAGTCTAGACATAAATCCTGACATTCATATTGAACTGTAAGTGAAGAAACCCACCGTTCCACATGATGAACAGCCTGAGGACTACTTGCATTGCACCCTGTGGTTCAGAAATACCCCAGGACCAGATCCACACTATGAAGAGGAATTATTCAGACTGGTGGAGATACGTATCATTCTGACAGACCTGTTCTGATTCTAAGGGAATAGTGTGATCCTGGTCCAACTACCCATGGAGGTGACACACATGTATCATCACTGGGAGATGGCCGTTCCTCATGTTTCCTTCACTAAATCCCTAGATATCTCATGGAAAGAACTTGGCCCCCTAGCAAAGACATGGAGCACTGCGAGCCAAGAACAGCTCATGGAAGAGGGAGTCACTAAGAGAACCATAAATTGCAAGACAGTCAGTTACCCCCGATATCATACAGAAATAAGTGA